TCTTTCAATACGTGACAATATATTTGCAAATATTTACGTGAACGCATTTAGATTAAATTGATAAATGCAATTTTATACCTGATTTATTCCATTCACCAACAGTAATATCCAAAAATGAATTACAACTATTATTATGGCCAATAAATACATCAGTCTTCAATTACCAAAAATGTTGCATGGCGCATTTTATCATAAAATTCATCTAAAAAAAGATAGTTTTTAGTGAAGAAGCAAGTAACTGAAATAGTATATAATATGGAAATATGGAAATTAATGACTTACATGAATTAAATAACAGAATAGTTAAATACTTGAAATTATATTGTTGGGACAAAAATTATATAGATCAGAGTGAAAAAAGGAAAGTTTTAGAAAAAAAATCAAATTCAAAAAATAAGGCTTTAAATTCTGTTTTTATGAATTTTACTAGTTTTATGAATTTTACTGTTTGCAACAATTAAATATAAGCTTCTTAGTCAATTGACGAATGAATCTGTTAACTTCAATTGTATTAATATTTGAACTGATAATTTTGAACAGTTATGAAAACTAATATCTTTGATAACAGATGAGAAAGTACTACTTACAAAAATTTATATTTAATATCATTTCATGACTTTCAAATTTTTCATGATTAACAGAAATTAACCGAATTTCATGATTTCATGATTAACAGAAATGATTCAAATCTTTCACAACTATTCCTTCACTTCATTTCAACAATATTTTGAGATAGACGTGTAAAATTGATGTAATGATGAAAAAAAAAAGATGATGTAAGCTCTTCGAGCAACTCTCGGAGTATCCCCGGAGAATAATTAAAGCCGGCTGTAAGCAATATTAGTTGCTTGGATTGTTTTGAACAATCAACAAGTTTCATTTGGAATATTAATCATTCAAATAATAACTTCCAATTATTACTAAATTCGCAATATCACATTTGCTATTGTCTGTAGCAAGATGACCTTTTTTGAACTTTCTTGTCTTGTTAATATTTAAAATTTTTTCGTTTTTTTTGACTAATTAAGTCTTAAAAAATCAAAAATTAGATGGAATATAAATTTAATTCTATAATTCTTCAAATATAATTTTCTCTTTTTGAATGAAAAAAAAATTGAACGTTCTAATTATCTTAAAATGAAACTTATGAAGTTTTGTGTTTGAAAGTTTTGCAATTTAAACAAAGTTTTATGAAAATATATTAACATGAATGACTCATTGAAATGAAAAATAAAAACAGAAGCGGAAATAAAACAGGAATGATTTATTGGTAATATTTATTCAAACTTCTCTTCATAACTCTTCTCTTCTGCTATATTTCTGCCGGATGGAAACTATGCTAAAATAAAATTTGCTTCAAAAAATTTACAATATCACCATGACATCTGTTTCATGATGAAACTAATTTGACCCTCAATCCTGTTATGATATTGCATTTTGACTGATATGAAATTTTCGAGAAGAAATTTGCGGCAAAACAATGTTGCGATCTTTTAATCTTACAGACATCCTACTCTATTCTCTCTCTCCCTTTCTCACATTTAAATACTTTTCTTTTGACAAAAAAAATTGCAAAGTTATGAACTGTATTCTCTCTCTCTCTCTCTCTCTCTTTCTAACATTTAAATATTCTTCTTTTGACAAAAAAAATTGCAAAGTTATGAACTGTATTCTCTCTCTCTCTCTCTCTCTCTTTCTAACATTTAAATATTCTTCTTTTGAAAAAAAAATTGCAAAGTTATGAACTGGGATCCATAAGCCTCTTTTCAAGATGTATTGTTGGAATTATTTGTTGCAGATTGTTTGCTAAAATAAAAATGATTCCAAATTTCTTTTTTCAATTTTCTTCTTTATCAAGTAAAAATAGATTTAAATTTCAAAATGAAGTTAAAATAAAAAGGCTAATTTCGCAATATATAGAAGGATTGAAATTTAAAGATATCCATCACAAATACAAATGGTTTGGTGCCAAAAAAAAGTCAAGATTAATAGCATATATTTTAAGTTCCTGTTAAAATTTCATTTTATTACGTAAAAATTTTCCACGACATAAATGAAGAATATAACTTGGGTTATATTTCAGAAATTATTGTTGAAACTTTTGAAGAATAACAAATGAGAGAAGAACTTAAGTCGGCAGAAAATGTATTAAAATTCAAAAACTGATTTTTAGTATGCATTAAAATTTAAAAATAATTGTTAGTCTAACGTCAACTAAAATTAAATAGAAATAAAATGGTGAAAAATGACAGATAATAATAGATATTTGTTGAATTTTGCGATTTTCCGATAAGAAAATGCTACGGAACAGAAGAAAGTACAAAATTTCTGATTGAAAATGCGTTGACAGCTCCTTGTTATTTGATTAAATCCTTGAGTTGATAAAAGCAAATCGTGATTAGCAACATACTCCTCCTCAATATCCATCTTCTCGTGTTATTCATGAAGATTCAGCCTGTTAAAACTTAATATCAGAACAGAGCTCCGCAACAATATAAATTTTCAGAAATAAAAAAGCTATAAAAAAGTTTGATATATACACATATACTTCAAAATCCTTCAACGGTTTCATTTCAAATTTAAATCCTATCTCTTCGCATTTCAAAAGTACTTCTAGAAAGAAATTGGCTCTGTTTCTCACTTCATAAATGGTGAAAAAGAATGTACTTTATAAAATCTGACTTTTTGCATTTCCCTTTGGAATATGATGAATAGCTAAAGCCGGAATATTACACTATTTCCCATTCTTCATAGATTGTGAAAAATGAATGAAACGAAGGATAATCTTGTAAATTTGAACTTTATCGAAGCAAATTAAGCTGAGAACACAAATTCACCACAATCTTGTCCATCAAGCACTCTCTATCTAATTCCACCCCCTCAACCTTAACTGCTCCTTCCCTTTTAAGCGATTTTTTTCCACAATTTCACGCATTTAAACATTAGCATCCTAATCAGCACAAATAAGTGCCTTTTCTACACGGGGCCATCTAAAATAAAAACATTTGTATTTTTATTTCTCTTCTCCCCCAAAACAGGCACTCTTTCTTCACTTTTCATTTTTTTTTAGCAACATTGACCAACTCAACGAAAATGAAATTTAATATCATAATCCGTTAGCTCATATTAGAATACATTACGGTGAAAGGGAAATTTCTTACCGTGCATCGCAAATATATTTAGAGCTACTGGGGTGAAAATTCGCTAGTTCCCTATGAAGCAATAATGCAATCCTTCAATCGAATCAGTTTTTTTATTACAAAACTCAATTTGTTAATGAATCATGATTCAATAAACCCTTTTCTATTATATTATTTTGAACAAATTCCTTTTTTTACCCAATAAAATGACATACAGTCTTCATATAAGCAGTAAAATAAAATGTAAACTACAACTCGGATATAAAAAAAAAAACTTTTTTATGATCGCCAACATACAATTACTCGCAATAAAACAATGAAGAATTTTCCACTTATGAGCGTGGTCTTTCCTTTTTTCCTTTGAACAATGCAATCAATGATGTATTTGCTACTTTAACAATTTTAAAACGCACACCGGGTATATCACCCACAGCGTGTCCTTTCCGGCCAAAGCCAGCAACAAGAACTTCGTCATTTTCCTGCAAAGCAAATAAGATTAAATCCTCTTCTCACTGTCTTCTAGTTTGATTGGGAATTCAACCATTACAATGAAATAAACTCAAGCCATGTTAAGCACAAATAAAAATAATATCTCCCATTAGTGCTACAAAGTAAGTGAAAATTCAAGAAGGCTAAAAATAGCTTATTATCTTCCAAAAACCGAATGAACATCGAAAAAGGTCACTTCAATAAAATTCAAGCAACCATCATTTGGTACGAATGCTGTGATCTTCTTCCCATTTTTAATTAGTTGCACACGAACACATTTGCGAATGGCCGAATTTGGTTGTTTCGCTTCAACACCTCTAAAGTTGAAATACATTCCTGAGATGAGTTAGTAACAACTTTTTAAGCACTAAGTTACTCATTCAACTGGTTATCATCAAAATAAGAATGGAATGCTAATATAGAGAGAAGCAAAATGTTTACGTATAGGATATTGAAATTTCAGTCAGAGAGCAATGGAATTCATACCACAGAATATCAACAGCTAAAATAAGTAAATATCTCAAGATGCTAATTGTTCAAAAAGAAATTGCTTACACTTTTTCCAAGACGATGCCTTTCGCATGCGATGCTGCTCCAAATGGATTTGCCTTCCATCGTGTCCCCAAATGTGCCTTCTTATAACCTTTGTCATTCCAACGCTGAGCCTGTCTATGCGTTTTCAACTTACGTGCTGTACGTATACCTTTCGGTTTTCCCATGATTTTATGCTGCTAACTATAAAACGATTTCGAAATAAGATTTGCATGAAATGTGGAAGGATAATGGGAATTCAGCGAAGGAATGAAATAAATAAAAAATAATTAAAAATAAATACATTCGAAAATCGAAGTTGTGACTGAATGGATGAAAATAAATGTACACAGCGAGTAATTTATTTTCTTAATAATTTTGTACTTTATTGCACACCTAGCCATTTCAACTATTCTATGAATGTACATCATCTCAAAATGACAACAAATGATAATGTCCAATATTCATGTCCATTCATTTTACCATTCTTCCGTCAATAATGGTAAATAAAACAATAACAAGAATATATAAAATTTAGGATATATGAGAGTATGTAAACCACTTATTTAATCTCTCTTAGACTCATTAGTATTAGAAAAAGGGTTAAATTTCCTAAATTTTAAAAGATTACAATGCATCTATCCTACGACTAAAACACGCCAGATACCCAAACACGTAACTCAAGTAAACACAAAAATATCGATAATGATGATTGCCTATATACCATAGCGGCCATCTGCGAAATGACGTTACGTCTATCGATCAATCCATACTTTTAGTCCGTGACGTACGCGAATAGCCGGCTGGAAATATATTGTCTGTGAGAGAGGATATTTTGATTCTAAATAGGAAGCAAAACTATTAACTAATAAGCTACTAATAAACTAATAAGCTAATAACTCCCACAATGTTACTTTCCACAATAGAACTATCATTGTAGCACAATTCTTATGAAAATCAATAGTATTTCAAACTGATGTCTTAGTATGAAAACTTAGCATCTCGAGGAGATTTTCTACAATTTATATTTACAAGAAATATGTTTGCAATAAAAATGAGAAATGAATGCCATTTTATGAAAGAAAAAAAAAAACAATCGAGGTAATATTTCTACTATAACCTTTAACTTCAACCTTTCAAAAGACCTGCAATATGCTAAAATTTGCATAACATATTAACAACTTTAAAGAAGAAAAAATTTCATGTCTTCTTGTGATGCTGTGATCACTTTACTCTAATTGAACTGTTTTAGGATTGATTTCAAATAGTTTGCTATTTTTGAAATTTTTTATTTTTGCATTATCTTGCAAATTTATTGTTCCATAATTCTAACATTCAAAGCTTGTTTAGTAACTCATTTTATAAATGTGAAAAGAATTCTTTTTTTTTTTTTGTTACCAATTTTTCATAAAGTTTGGATTTTAAAAAGTAAATTTTGTGTTTTACATGGAAATTAAAGGCGAATTTTTTAGTTTTTTTTTTTTAAATTAAAAAACTTTATTTAAATAGAGGAGAATAGAAGAGGATTTGAGATGAGCACTTGAAGGATATATCGAGCAAATATGTTTGCTCGTTAATATGATATTTAATCTGAAGGATTGCAATATCTTGTGATGATATTGCTGTCAGCAAAACGATTTCGGAAATGATTGTTTGTTTTGATTAAATTAAATCATTTGCGACTTCATTTCATGACTCAGTGCTTCCTTTTACCTTATGATGTTTTACTTAATTGAATCTTCTTTTATGATAATAATTCGATCTGTTACAAATTTTGCTGTATTCTAATCGAATCATAATTTTGCTATTTGGAAAATATGTATGTATATTTAACGAAAACAATTGCTTATATTATTCTCCAAAGTAAAAGATACCAAAAATTTTCAACGATTTCAAATGATATTTATCGTGATGTCATATCCTTAAGTTTTAAAGTTATTTTGATGATTTTCTTCGCTATTTGCATTGTAAAACTATCCTAATTCAAAATGAGAAATGAATTTTTTTGAAAAAGAAGAAGAAGAAATTTCCTGCTATATTAGAATCAAGAAATTTATTACATTTACAATTATGCATGTGTTGTAAATTGAATTTCATTAAAAATAAATGTTAGATTAAGTTTCATAATCTTAGCGTGCTAATATGCATTTCATTATTTCGGAGTAGCATTAAATTTTCCTTATTAAATCAAACTAAATATTTTATGCAACAATTGAAGTTGCATGACGAGCGTGACAAAAATAACGTGTTAATTGATAAATCCTTTTTTTTTTTCAACATACTTAATGTAATTTAATCTTCCAAAATTTTATCATATTTTCTTTTTTTTTCTTATTAAATTTTAATAAATATTCTTGACTTAATGATTAATTTTACTAGAATTGAGTAATATTCATAGTTTAGTGGCTGATTTTGAAAGTAAGAGAGAAAGAAATGTTTGGTTGAAATGGAAAAGGAAAAGGAATAATCGCATATCGATTAGGGTAATTTAAAATGAATTGTTTGAGCGATTAAGCTTGAAATAAGCATTTACACAATTTTAATAGCTCCTAACATCAGCACTTAGCATTTGGTGTCGTAGCGATTCCAATTGTAAGAAAATATGACGCATTATGCTTTCATTTTTAAATATGCTAATGAACAATGGAGTTTAAAATTTCGGACAATTGCGCTAATCGATGGATTCAATCTATTAGAGGTAAGGTGAAAGAGATTTATGAATGTATGCATACATTCTTCATATTTATATTAACGAAACGAAATCTCCTCAATCTTCTTGATGATATTTTTTTTTTTTTTAGCATGAATTATTTTCATCTTTCAAGCATTTTTCTTTATCGCTTCAAAAACAAAAGGCGAAAAAGGAACAACAATAGTTTAGATGTGTAATCGATTGACAATTAAAAGTAATGAAAAAGTACTTAATGAAATTTTAATTTAAGGAACTATAGTAATTAGCAGGAAAGAGAAGTTTGCTTTATCGCTTAATCAAATGTTTATCTATTTCTTAAGTTGATTACTTATCTGCTGATATTGATTGTTATTTTATTATTGATAAACAGTAATAAACGAACGAAAGAATAGCCGAAAAGCAATAACACAAATAAACAATTACCGTTCTAAAGTTAAGAAGTAAATTCAAAAACTAAAAAAATTAACAGCAATTGTTAAAAATTACGAATCAAATGTATGAATAATGATGCATCATCAAAAATATAACTTTCCCATAAAAATTCATTCGCTATTAGGAACACATTTGCATGTTGGAACTTAATACATATTCAATTTTTTACCATTGCCAGAAATTAATTTCAAATCATCTTCAGGTATTTTTTCATTATTAAAATAAAATAAGCTAAAATAAAATTTCGTCAACTGCAGCTTTTATTTTAAAATTTGCTTCCGAATTTTACAAAGATTTTCTTCAATTTTTTATTTTTTTTTTTCACATATTTTAGTGTAATTAGTTTTGTAATTATTTTCAAATTATATATGCCAACTAATGTTTATTCACGTGAAATACACTTTGTGTAACGTCAAAAAAAAGTGTTAGAATTGATGAAAAGAACAGAAGAAAGAAGACAGATGCATCGTTGCTCAAATGAGTTAGCCTAAGTAAGTACAACCATTATAATTTTATGCATCATAGCTTACTTTCAGACTTATTTATAATCATGATTAGAAGTAGAATTACTATTAATAATGAATAATATGCTAGATTAAATGAACAATCGTTTAACATTTTTTAATCAATTCTGATTATAAAATTTTTATGATTTTATACCTTACACATTATAATGCTAGAATTTTCTTTTTTTTTTCTCATTTACTAATGTGTTGTCTAAAATGTCATTCAGTAAAAGTAATATCATTTGATGCATCATTAAAATTTCCATTTTTCAAAACGGATTTCATATTTATGCTATAAATTAAAGAGTGTAAAAATCAATATGAAAGGATAATGTTTTATTCAAAGTTTTCCGTACAAATAAAAATATATTTTGCTTTATATAAACAAATATACAAGTTATAAGTTCTTTATTTTTTTTTTTTACTTAAAATCTCATACATTGCAAAACTTTTGCAGAAATTGTTGTCAATTAAATTAGATGATTAAATAAGTTAGCTTGATAAATGGAATCTTTTTGGTTTGCCTTTTTTCTTTTGTAGTAAAATATAAT